ACTGGGCGCTGCACTTCAAAAGGGATGTGGCCAGCCTGGAGAGGGTGCAGAGGAGGGCCACTCGCTTGGTGAGAGGGCAGCGAGACAGGCCCTACGAGGAGAGACTGAAGGACCTGAACGTGATCAGCCTCAGCAAGAGGAGGCTGAGGGGGGACCTGGTGGCTGCCTACAAGCTCATCAGGGGGGATCAACAGCAAATAGGCAGAGCCCTTTTCTCCCCAGCACCACCTGGGGTGACAAGGAACAATGGTCATAAGCTGATGGCGAATAGGTTTAGGTTGGAGATCAGAAGGCAATATTTTACAGTTAGGGTGGCCAAAATCTGGAACCAACTTCCCAGGGAAGTGGTCCTCACCCCTACCTTGGGCAAATTCAAGAGAAGGTTGGATGATCACCTGTCTGGGGTCTTGTGAACCCAGCATTCATTCCTGCCTGTAGCAGGGGGTCAGGCTAGATGATCTGTTCAGGTCCCTCCTGACCCTAGCTACTATGAAACTATAAAACTATAAGATGAGCAGTTGAAAAAAGTCAGACCCCTATCCTGTGAATATTAACCTGTATCCTTGTTGTCAAGTCACTTACCCCCTACTCCAGAAGTGCAAGAAACTGACACACATACTATGACCATCATGAACTTCTATTACTGTTTGCAAAGAGCTCATTGTATCATTATGCTTGTTATAAGCACCAAGGAATAACTGTTCTATCTGATTATGACATCTGCTTTAGATCTCATCTGGACTTGCACTATAACAAATTCATGTCAGTCAGTGTGACTGTTAATACAGCTCTTTTTTCTCCAAATAGTATGAATGGTTTCTTATGCCATAATATATCTTTCCAGTTAGCAATAAGGTGCACAAAAAAAAGACTGTATGTAAAACTAAATACCAATGGGTATTTTTTCTCTCTTGTATATTAGAGAGTGTTTGTATATGTGTGTGGATATAACACACATTCTCAGTCTCTTGCATATCCTTTTTGTATAACATATTATACACACACACACACATCTTTTTCTTTGCCAATCCTTCACAGTTGAGGACGATTGTCTTTCATGAACGTCTTATCTGTGGGTCCAAAGATGGCTGATGAAGCTGATCCAGGATTGGCAGACTCTGCTGCCGCTCAGGCATGTGTTTCTGTGTGGGGTGGTTGGCTCTGGATTCTTGATTCGGTCTGTGATGCACTGCTTTCGCCACTCATGCTTTTCCTGTTGCCATTGTAAGGTTTCAAAGTACTAAGATCCTTGCAGCAGACTCTTCCTACATTTGGGGCAGTCCTGGGCAATAGCCTCCCACGAGTTGATGTTGCATTTTTTTTGAGTTGGCCTTGAGGATGTCCTTGAACCACTTTCTCTGCTCTTCTCTTGAGCACGTGCCTCGACTGAGCTGGGAGAATAAAATTTGCTTTAGGAGTCTTGAGTCGGGCATCCAGATGACGTAGTCGGGCCAGCAAAGTTGATGTCAGATGATCATCACCTTGATGTTCGTGGTCTTTGCTTGCAAAAGGACGTTAATGTTAGTGCATCTCTATTCCCACTGGATTTGAAGGATGTTCTGCAGGCAGCACATAGTACTTCTTCATGAAATGTCTCTTGTATGTTATCTAGGTCTCAGCTCCGTATAGACAGGTGGAGATCACAACCACTTGATAAACCACGAACTTGGTTTCAGATCTGATGTTGTGATCTCTGGACACCTGTTTCCTCAGGCGTCTAAAGGCTGCACTTGCACGTTTGAGGGGATGCTGATTTTCATCACTGATGTCAGCCTTCTGTGAGAGATGGCTTCCGAGGTACAGGAAATACATGTTCTCCAGAGTCTCACCCTAGATCTGAATTACTGGAGTTGCGGACAGCTCATTAAGAGCTTGCTGATGGAGGACCTTAATTTTCTGACTATTAAGTGTAGTCCCATTTTCTTGTATGCCTTGGTAAAGATGCCGATGATTGCCTGACAGTCTGCTTCCAAGTGAGCACAGACTACAGCATCATCAGCATACTAGAACTTGATGACTGAGGTTGGGGTGGTCTTGGTTTTGGCTTGGGAGTCAGCTGAGATTAACATCCCTTCAGTAGTTCAGCTCCACTCCAACTGGAAGCTTATAGGTGGTCAGATGTAGCATTGCTGTCAGGAACATGAGAAGAACGTATGCATGCACATAGATATAGACACATACACACCCAAACACACATGTATATATGCATACATTATATATATATATATATATGAGGCAGTTTCATAATAATTACATATTC